AAATACATACATACATAAATACATACATACATAAATACATACATAAATACATACATACATACATAAATACATACATACATACATAAATACATACATCAATACAATACATACATACATAAATACATACATACATAAATACATACATACATACATGCATACATACATACATAAATACATACATACATGCATAAATACATACATTGACTATCTCAATATATATATAATATAATATTTAATATTTAATATAGAACATAATATTTTTTACATTATAGTATATTATATTATATTATATTATAATTATTTTATAGTATATTATATTATGTCATATTATAAATTATTATATTGTATTGTATTAATATATAAATACATACGCCTGATGGTTATTGATTATCACTGATTATCATTGCTTATCATTATTTATCATTGATTGTCATTAATTATAATTAATTATCATTGATTATCATTAATTGTCATTGATTATCATTGATTATCATTAATTATCATTGATTATCATTGATTATCATTGATTATCATTGATTATCCTTAATTATCATTGATTATCATTGATTATCATTGGTCATCACTGGTTATCATTAATTATCATTGATTATCATTGATTATCATTAATTATCTTTGGTTATCATTGATGTTCATTGATTATCATGAATTATCAGTGATTTCATTGATGATCATTGATTATCATTGATTATCATTGACTATCTCAATATGTGTATATATGGTCTCGTGTTCCGTGTTCCTACCCCCCCCCAATGGTATGGGTCCCCAGGTAGCACCCCGTTCCTTTCTATTTGCAAGCTATTGGCAGCATTTCTGAGGTCCAGCCTCGTATTTTATTTGCTAGGTTTTTGCAGCGATTCTGACTACCAGCCCTCTCATTTACTAGGTACATGCTACCTTTTAGACGACCTATGTAGCACACCTACGTGCTGCCTATAGTTATATATACATGCGCTATGTATCTACTTCCTATATATATATATATTTATCATAGACACACACACATATATATATATACATACACATACACATACACACATGCAAATATATACACACACATACTCATATTTATATATACATATATGTATATTACTTATATATATATTATACTCATATGCATATATATATATTTACACTTATAGATATATATACATAACACCATATATATATATATATAACCACACGCCCACCACACCACAGGGGGGGAGGGGGACAGTACTATGGCTGCCCCATGACCATGGCGGGGGGGGAGGGAGGGGGGTTGGAACGCCTGATGGTCATTGATTATAATTAATTATCATTGATTATCATTTATTTTTTTGATTATCATTGATTATCAGTTATTATCATTCGTTATCATTGATTATCATTGGTTATCATTATCATTAATTATCATTGATTATCATTTATTTTTATTGATTATCATTGATTATCAGTTATTATCATTGGTTATCATTGATTATCATTGGTTATCATTATCATTAATTTTCATTGATTATCATTGTTTATCATTAATTATCATTGATTATCCTTGATTATACTTGATTATCATTGATTACCATTGATTATCATTAATGTTAATTTAGTATCATTAGTTGTCATTCATGAAAATTATCATAAATTGTCATTAATTGTCATTGATTATCATTGTTTATCATTGATTATCATTGATTATCATTAATTATCACTGATTATCTTTGATTATACTTGATTATCATTGATTACCATTGATTACCATTGATTATCATTAATGATAATTAAGTATCATTAGTTGTCATTCATGATTATTATCATTAATTGTCATTAATTATCATTGATTATCATTGTTTTATCATTAATTAACCGTCATTAATTTTATTTTTACTTATCATTAATTATCATTACTTATCGTTAATTATCATCAATTATCCCAATATATATATATACACACCTGTTGTCGAAATTTGTTGAAAGAAATGCTTGTGTCTGTGTTCGAGCATGCAGCAGAGCCATGTTAGGTGAGATGGTTCTGACATTTTGTGTGCTGATGAGGCCAAATGCCTGACGGCTTGTGAGCCAATATCCTTGGGCGAGGCGTGCCAAATTGCTGATATTTTATCCAAACATGATGTACGTTCATTTTTTTGGATCGACCACATTGTGGGTGGGGTTTTTGAATGTCTCTGAGATTGTATTACAGATTCCAGCCAGAAACCATATCAATATGAGAATATTAAACAAGAAAATTCACCCTTCCCGAGGCCCTCACACGGACCTTTTGAGTATCCTTCATGCTCCCAAACTTATATCAAATAATTATATGTATATATATATAACTATATATGGTTAGATATACTTATATGATTGTATATAATTATATATATATGATATTATATATATAATTATATACATAATTATATATAATTATATAATATTATATATACATATATATTATTCAACATATATTCAACATATCAAAATGATACGTTGAATATCCCAACATCAAAATTATTGAATATTCATACTTCTTGATATTGTTCGCAGCTCTTTGGAACCTTTGTTCTTACATCATCTATTTTGGCCTTGGAGGCGCTTCAAAAGCTCGTCCAAAGCAAGAAGGGCAAGCTACCCATCCTGAACGAGGCGTCATCCTGTGGTCCCGATCGGTGATCGGATTCGGCAATTTACCATCTGGTTATGACTAACATAGCCATGGAAAATCCCAACCATAAATGGAGGTTTATTGTAGTTGGGAAAATCATCTATTTCAATGGGCTATGGCTTCCATGGCGAACTGTTAGTCATAACGAGAGGGTACCATGTTTTTTTGTATTTTGAATATTTTTGAATCAAGAGATATATGAAGAAGAAGGAAATAATCATGAATATGTCTCGACCTTGTACAATCATCTGACTTGTTGCTGTTGCACTGCATTTTCAGGTTCAATCCCTATTCATTCATATATGTTCATATATTCATTCTGGAATCTAAATGACAATTTTTTCAACAAAATGATGCGATGGGTCTCCGTCTCTGCTCAGGATGGAGAGCTGGTCGCCCTGGTGACGAGGTCCGATCTGAAGAAGCTCAAGGACTTTCCAAACGCCTCGAAGGACTGGGAACTCCGAATGATAAACGTGCGACTGATATGACTGATATGTTCATATATATATATAATTATATATATATATGACAAACTTACATCCTTTGAGTTGGTGGGATCATGTGAGATCATGTGAGATATTGTTGAAGAACTAAATTCATTTTGAGTACATACCTTGTTTTGTTTGTTGCTGTGGGATGAATGGGACTTAAATTCACAGCTGCGCTCACTCCCTTTTTTGCAGAAGTCACACAGGATGCCAATCGACAGCTGCTAGTTGGAGCTGCAGCAGAGCCCAAGCTGTCAGAACTGGAGCGGGTTCAAAGCCTTGTGCAGGCCATCCGCATCCATCCGCATTGGATCACGTTGGCAAATTTTGCATGACACACTCAGGATGTTGACACACGTTGACAAAACATATTTTATGGTTGGGGTACCCTCAAGATCGGAGACCAAAATATGGCAATGCTATCCGTTGCATTAAAAAGCATCTTTTGGTGATACAATGAGCTGATGAGTATTGATATGATGTGATATGATGTGATATGATGTGACATGATGTGATATGATGTGATATGATGTGATATGATGTGATATGATGTGATATGATGTGATATGTAATGATTCAGTTGAGTCCACATTGTCCACATAGACTGTATTAAAGAAATCACAAGTTTTGCCGCCGTGCACCGCACCTGGAGGTTTTCACCTTCAAATCACTCTTGACGATTTACTCGGGGGTGGGTTCACTGTGTGTGTGCTATCTTCAACATGCTTTGCAGCAAGCTTTTTTTCTGTTCTAGCAGGCTGGCATGGATGTGCTCTTCTTGGAGGCAACCACAGAGTTCTGACAAGAATCGTGAATGCAGTGCTGTCTAGAGAGTAGCAGCTTACCAGTGAAGATCTCAAAGAGGTTTCAAGATCAGCGAAATTGCCAAGATTAGCACAACATTACACAACATAAATATCATAAATTGGCAACTTGGTGGGGCATCCCTGGCATCCCAAAGAGCTCAGAGTGATGAAACGCAGCTGCAAGGCTTCCAGAAGTAACCTCGAAGAGCAGGCGGAATTTATCCGAAAGGCCAGGGTACATTTGCTGCTGTACCATTTGGTACAGCTTGGGGTCATCAGGGTCCACGGAGGATGCGTGTTGTTCAGTTTGGTCCTGCAAAGGATGCAGGGTCCCAGGGTTGAAGTGGATTGATGTGTGCTGAAATGTTGTGAAATCCACTGAGTAAATACTTGTGGAGTGAACATCCCTTGATTTCTTCAGTCGCTGGTTCATAGATTTTGGTTTCTTAATCTTGGATGGACACGTCAAGTAACCAACTCCTTGCATTCTCATGATCTGCCGGCGCTACCCTATGCCGGCAAGTATGACAAGTCTGGCAGTGTCAGGTGAAATTCCAATATCCGGGGCTGGACGTGGTGGCTGGCAATGTGGTCACGCCCAAGCAGGCACGTCGGCACCTTTCGGAGACCTGATCTCTCCAGACTGTCGTCCTGAACTGTTGATGGCTCCTGTGACTGCATGCCATGAAATAGCCAAAGGGTCAGAATATATCAGATATGTCAGCTATAAGATCAGAAGATATCAAAAAGGTTTTAAAAAAATGATCCTGTTGTCCCACTTGAAAAAAAAACAGGACTTGTTTTAATCTACACACTGTTTTAATGCGTTATTAAAAGCTGACCATAGTTGTCCAATTGATGCCAACTGAGCAGCCATCAATAGCTAAACTGTGCTAAAATATAGTACTTCAAAGTACTTATTACATCTTATTACTATGAGTATTGGTATTGGACGGTATTGGTATACTAAAATTTAGTATGATAGTACTTCACAATATATCTACACATTGATACCAACCTTCAAAGACTTCGTGCCTTTGCGGAATCTTCCCAGGCCCAGCCGCTGATCCAAGCAGGGGCAGACGCTCTTCGGGCCTGGCTCCCCTGTCCGGTGTGTTGCAACTAATTTCTTACAGAGATGTGGAATGAATACTATAGTAATAGTATGGTAATAATATAATAATCCCTCCCGCTAAAATTAAACACCCCCCCCGCAAACCATACTAAAAAGTAGGGGATTTCCACATCATTGGGACCATTTAGGTCCCCCCGCAAACCATACTAAAAAGTAGGGGATTTCCACATCATTAGGACCATTTAGGTGATGTTTAATATTAGGGGGATGGGATTAGTAGATAATAGCATATACATATATTTATATATATATATATGAAGAGAGAATAGATTCATAGACCTTGACCCTCCGTACCCGGAAAATTGGGAGGGTGGCACTGAAAACCCAGGGTTTCATCTCTGTCCAGTTTGTCGCCATTAGAGATCTAAACACCATGATCCAGATGGGTGAAGACGGGGTCAATCACGGTAAATCACAGGGTTTGCTGGAGGCATCTGGAGGCTTCTTCATTCCCGAGTACTTTTTCATGTTGGGATTCCATTTTTTTTTTCATATGTTGATACTGTACATGTAACATAACATAGAGGTGAAGTGCTGATTGGCAAGGCTGGCGGAAAATTCAAAAGAGCGTATGATGCAGCAAAGATCAACAAAGCAGGAGCAGTGTTGGAAGCAAGCATTTTTTGGAATTCGGACAGTTTGTAAGAAAACTCGAGTTTTTTTGTGACAAATTAAAGGATTTGAGCATGATCACGGCTAAACCCAGGGTTGTAGTTTCGCGACCAAATTGTAGGGTTTGGAAACTAAGGGTTATATCATATATTTATATTACATATAATATAATACATATACTTCTAATGTTATAGTGCACACAGTCATGAATAGATACAAGACATATACACCTAATGTAGTGCAAATATGTATTGATGGATGTAATACAACTACATCTAATATAGTATTTAGCGCTATCATACGGGATAGTTTTTTTTGCCTTGTTTTCGCCTTGTAGACGAGTGAACATCTTGTGACTGTGACTTTAGAAGTCCATGGGTAAGCATTAATATGGATTTCTGTGGAAAAGGATTTAAAAAAAGGATTGCCGCAATTTTGTGGTACTTTCCTTTTAGCCTAATCGCCCAACTGTGTCTGAGAGAATTTGATAGCCACATCTAGCCACATCTGGTTTCCCAGAATCGGATGATGGGCAAATCATCGAAAATCTGCAGGAAAAGCCGATCAAAACTCAGGTTTTCCTCTGGCAAACCAATCCATTCACAATATTCACAGCCAAAACACACCACAAGACGGCTTTCAGGTCGGCATGGGCAGCAGTAGCCTGGATTCTTTGCCAGAGGTGGGAAAGAAGTGGCAGTAAATCTTGATATGTCACACTCAGAATGATGGTGATAATCATTTAGTCCTGTTGGATGAGTCCATGTTTTGGGTTTGACACACTCAGAACAATGATCATTTCCACCACTTTTATTCCGGTTTAATCCTTAGAGCGTTTTGGCCCGAAAGCTTAATCTTGACCTGTAAAGGCGGTCACCACGAGAGTTGTTTTCTCTTTTATCGCAGCATGCCGTATTTTGATGGTGGCCTCAGTGATCACAATGATCCGATGATGAAGCCATTCTTGGACAGCATGAAAGAGAACTTCAAGAACAACGACAAGGATTCAGCTTCCAAGGATTCGGGCAGCAAAGACAAAGATCGCGACAGTGGCAAAGACAAAGACAAAGACAAGCAGAAGTGATTCGAAAGCTTGAACGACAAGTTGATTTTTTGATATGCGCCAGGGAAGCGCAAAGTCCATACTCAAAGACTTTCAAGATGATTAAACTGAAAGATTGCGAGCTGCGAAAATCGATGCTGCGTTGGCTTCTTGCTTGTCGCTTGTTTCTGTGCAAACTACCCTCCTACTTGGACCAATCAACTGATTGGGCGCACTGCCAAGCCATTTTCTAGGCACCTGCAGTGGGGCGACCGCTTGGCAGCGCAGTGATGCTGGCACAAATTGAAGTTATTAAAGGCATGCTTAAATGTGGCCTCCAGTAAATGAACATACCCTGGCAGATAGGGGTTGGAAGATGAGTTTCCACTCAGACCTGGGCGTATTTTCAGGGTCTGTTCATTTACTAGAGGGTAACTACGGTAGGATAACATGATAAACTGTAATGATAAAATGGGTTACATTGTCAAAAACATGATGGTTGTGTGTCCAAACATGTGAGATTTACCCCCAATAATCATGGTATTTTTCCTGAGAAAATTGATGATTAATACTGTTGTTTGGTATTTTGTGTGCTATGTTCATGTATGTTCAAACAAGCCCAAACAAGCCTAGATGATGTGAAATCACAATTTGCTTGGCTTTGCATGGTATTTCACGGTGGGCTTGTTGTGGTGCTAGCTGCTATACCATGGAAATCCCATCCTGGGCCTCCCTGGGCCCTTTTTGGTCGCCAGGTTTACCACGTAGCTCGTTATGCCAGCGAGCCCATGCCTTGGGAAACACGAGTCCAGGCGGCCCCAGACAAAACCCATTCCTGGCCGCCGAAACCGGACCGTTCCCAGGTTCAAGGTGCCCGTGATCGCAGATGGAGGCCCTGATTTCAGTGTGATGATGGGATGATTTCTGGTGTACCCTCTGGTAATTTAACATAGCCATGGGAAATGGCCCATTTATAGATGGTTTACCTATTAAAAATGGTGATTTTCCATGGCTATGTTAAATAACCAGAGGGTATATTCCCATGATTTCCCATGATTTCTAAGTTGGAGAGAACGAATGCATGCAAAATGCCATGTCATCTGCACTGGATGTAGACCTAGACCCAGACTTTATCCAGATCCACTGGATAGTCAGGGTTTGGGGAACGGATGTGAACAGAGATGATCAGGCTACAGCCTAGGTTTTAAAATATTTAAAATGCCCTTTCCAAGGTGTGATGTTTGAAATTAAAGCCAGGGATTACCAATAAAACCTCCAGCATCCAGTATATTTTTTGAGATCAGTTCCAGGTTTTGGATGGTTATTTTGGTATATTTTGGTATACAATGACTGGTGACTGCCCTCCACTTAGATTCGATCTTTGAACGGCAAGGCATTGCCACCAGTTCAGCGGCCACCATAGCCTTGGCGTACGCTTCTTGGGCCCTTCTTCGATGGACTAATTGGACCATCTGCGAGAACTGGTGCTGCGAGGACAACTGGATAGTCCACAGCCAGCACAATGGATACATGAGATCACCGAGTCACATATAGATTATAATGAAAAATCACAAAAACGCTAGGAAATGCTAGGAACTTAGAGACGAAGCTGCATAGGTTGGGCGCATCTGCCGTAATGTGCGGTTTTTTACTTGCCCTGGAACCCAGTCGAGCAATGCACTGACTGTTGCTACATGGATGACAAGGAGGTGCAGAGAATGCTAGGATCAGGTCAAGTGCAAGCAGTTTTGAAGTCTTTTTTTGCCGCATTAAATGTTGATTTTGTTGCTTTCGGGTTGAGGTGACATATTAGCAAAACAGGCAGAAGAAGTCGACCTGCTCGGCCTTTTCGAATTGACCTTTCCCTTGGGCTTGACTGAGGCTGGAACCACCGAAAGTCCTGGCGATGCCTTCTATCACGATGGCATGAGGCCAGCCATGATTGCCACAACACACAGGGCTCCATATTGTTTGATCATATAATCATACAAAATCATACAAATGTATTCAATATGCATATTAATATGTATATATATATATATATAATTATATATATAAAGGCTCATCAATGATAACATATGGCCAATGTTTTGCCAGAGATGGTGAATTTCAGATTGACCCCATTTGACCCATATGGACCCTTAAGGACCCCAAGGCCGTAAGTTGCAACTGCAGTGACCTCAGGATGAAGCTCTACAAAGGCATGAGCTCACTGGAGGTGCGGCTACAGAGGTATTTTTTATTGGGGCTGGGTAAGCCATTAAAATAGCAAGGGATCAATCAAATGGATCATACTAACTATTACTAAACCTGATTTTAAGCATCGGATTTGACGCTGGCGTTTGATACTCACTAAAGATACCTAGAAGTTTACTCTATGATTCAAGAACTTGTGCGACCTGGCCACAAGGGATTCTAGACAGCACGTCACAGCGCTACAAATTGCAGGTGGTTCCTTCTCAATTGGAAGCAGTGAGCTTAGCTTTGAGATGTCACTGGGAAGGAAAGGACCGAAGGACCGAAGCTGGAGAGTTCCATTTGCTTCGATTGGGCGTAGGGACAGATTTGCAGTGTGCCTGCAAGATGTGGAAGTAGCACTTTGATACTCTGCAAGTTTCATTAGCTTACTAATAACTTACCCTCTGGTAATTTAACATAGCTATGGAAAATCACCATGTTTAATGGGAAAATCCACTATAAATGGCCATTTTCAATAGCTATGTTAGTTTACCAGAGGGTACAACTATTTGGCACTTTTCTGGATCTCGTGCTTTCGGTTGAAGCAGTCATAAGCAGTCTGCTCTTCTGAAAGGTAGGATTAAAACATCATGACACAAAGTTTCAGTGGCCACAGGTGGCCACAGTCCACTGATGTCCACTGCTTGAAACAGCACGAGGCCAAAAAATACAGCCGGCAGGGTGAGGACAGCGGCCTAAAGAGGTGTGGATATTTGTCTGATTCTTTTTTGCTGGCTGGCTGCTGTTCTTTATTGTTTTTGTTGCAGTTTTGCATTTTTGTTGTGTAGATATGTGTAGATGGTCGTATATTGTTCTGGTCTGCTCGTTGCGGCAAGCGGCTTTTTAACGAGTAAAAGTTATTGTAGGACAGCTCCAAGAAGGAGATCTCCAGTGGGCGTTGGCAGTTGCAGGTTTGATGGCGGCTGCTGTTGCGCCGTGGTTGACCGAGGGTGCCAGCCCTGGAGATAGCTTGACACACAATGTGGTATGCCTTTGAGCTAAGTCCTGACACAAACTTTCCTCTTCCCCACCTTTTGGCCCACTCTTTGATTGTTTTGCCATGTTTTGCTACTCATTTCCTCTAGAAGGGCCATGAAGGGCCATTCTACCTTCGCTAGTGTAGACCCTTCACAGCAATGAGCTAAGGCCTGCGAAACCCCTCATAGCAGCCATGCTGGATGGCGTGAGAAAGGACTTAAAAAGGTGAGGGCAGATATCGAAGAGTAGCATCAATAGCAACAAAAAAGCTGTAGAATACATTTGGGCGTGAAGATGCTTGAAGCCACTAAACAAAGCGGGTCGACATTCAGACTTGGCAATTCCAACATGTTGACAAAAGTTGGCCTCTTGGAGTTCTGTAAGATGACATTTACATGTTTGATGAATTCTGACGAGATGTTAGATGATGTTTGTTAGTTCAAAAGCCATTGCATGCCATTGCCAGGTTGGGTGCCCAAACTGTCAAGGAACTACACGAAGATTTGTATACCATGAAGACTCGTCCTGGCCTTACTGCTGAGGGATATCCCTCATTTCATGGCCATTTCAATAGTGAATTTTAAGCAAAAACCATATGGGATCGAGGCGGTTTCCCATGGTTTTCCCCATGGTTTTCCCCAACATGTTCAGATAAGCCCAGATGTTTTTCTCCTTGAGGCTTCCAGGTCCGATCTGCGGCCTCCTTTACCGCAGCCCGAAGAGGTGTTTTCGCATGAGCAAATCTGCGATCTTCAAGCAGAAGCCATGAAAAAAATCGGGCAGACATGGAGATGGTTTGTCTGAAAATGAGTAATAACATGCAATAACGGTGTACCATGTGGTACGGTATATCCTCAATATATGGCCATCAAATTAATGGAAACACTGATTAGATTTTGGATATTCATCCAAATTTGCAAAAAAACATGTTGCAGAATGTTTGAAGACTCTGGTCGATTTCGCCCGGGAATACAATGGTTTATCCAGGTTTGAGATTTTCTCAGAACCTGTCCATTGGTTCACCAACCAAGATAATATAAAGGATCACCATTCATGGCACAAAAGTTATGGCTGCTGCTGATTTTTTTGTCTCGGAGCTTTCACGTCTCACCCTTGTTATAATCGTTCATATTTGATCGGGGCCTGAGGTATTCAATCAGACTTTTTGCTTTGACCAAAGCACCAAAAGACAGCCTATGCGACAAATGCACCACACAGCAAAGTTGGTCAAAGATGTATTCTGTATCATCACTGGAAAGACAGCCGTTCGAACGCCAAGTTTCACCACGCCCTGCTGCAATATGGCAGGGTTGAATTTGGCCGCTGTGACAAGGCGGCACAGTGTGCAATATGCATTTGTAACAACGATTAAAAGAAGAGCGGGAAGAGCGGGCTGGGCATTGATCCTCTTCAATTGCTGCTGTTTCCGTGTCTGTGCTGTGCAATGCTATCTTGATGCTTTGTTTTGGCGCGGGTCTGCACAACTTGCTGACTTGTTACAAAGCTTCAGCCAAAACCCGGACATGAGACATCAATCAACCATCAATCTGTCCACGGGGTCCATTGCAGACATGTCGCAGACGCTTTGGGATGTTGTGCTTTTCGCTGATTCAGAGCCATTTTAACTATAACAGCAGAGACTAACAAGCATCTGACTGCAGCAATAAAAAGGGTTGCAGATCACTTGAAATCATTGGCAACATATGGCGACACCACTCTGTCGTGAGGAACAGTTGAGAAGCTAGTGGGGTGACAAGTGCAACCGCAGCATGTTGTGCAAGAAAATAAACACTGAACAGAGGAGTCGACGTGTTGAACCAGGTACATCGACATGGGCATGAAACTGTCGGCCTTTGTGCAAATGTTGTAGACATAGTGGGGGGCATTCAATACTATTACTATAATGACTTATAACAATAAAATCTTACAGTAATATATATTGGTAATTACTATTTCAGGCATTCAATACTGTAACAATCACTACATACTATATTGGTAATTTCAGTGATTTCCAATCTGCATCAAGCAAGCGGGCAGTGGGCAGCTATGGCTGGAGAGACTGATGCCTTTGCTTCAGCCTCAGGGGTACTGGAAAAAACATGACCAAAAAGAAAGGTCTGTAAAAACACGGGAAGAGAATCACTGGAAATGAAATATATATATATATATGATGTGATATTATGTATGTATATATATATATATGGAAGCACCCTGTTTTTAAGAGGAAATTGGATTGCATTGCCTTTTTCCATCTTTTTCCTTATATAGTTTGATTCTGTTCTTTTCGAACTCGCAGCACTTGTGCACTCTGATTCCTGTTGGTTTGTTGGTTTAAAGCCTCTTTTTCCTCATCGAAAAGGCCACTTAAAAGGGGTGCCCATCTTCCCCAAGACAAACCCTTTCTCATATTGGTCGTTGTTGGTAATATTGATCCCAGGGACAACTATCTCCCAGTCCGACTATATGTTTTTTTTTTGCCATGATATCCCAGGAGCAACATTGTACTTTCATCCTCTGTGCATCCCATGAAATGTCTCCCGGATTATCCCCTATGTCTGAGGCATTTTTTTTATTTGCTCAGGTGCATGGACCCGGCATTGCGCGGGCAGACTTCGATGCAGTTCCCCAAGTTGAACCGGACATGGATCTGCCAAAAACATCAAACAACCAGGATAGTTTGATTCTGGTTGATGTTTATTGGCATTACCCTCTGGTAAACTAACATAACTATGGAAAATCACCATTTTTAATGGGAAAATCCACTATAAATGGTCATTTTTAATAGCTATGTTAAATTACCAGAGGGTAACGCTGGGAAACAAACAATTCAGTGACCCAAGCCCCGCTCGCGTAACGCGGCAAGGCCTCGGTCTATGGGGCGAAATATATTTCTTTGAAAGCAGGACACCGCATGTGAAAAATGGACAAATGTGGTTGCTGGGGATATCTTATCATCTAACATGGGGATTTAATATGTATATATATATATGTATAATATATAATTATAATTATATATATAATATATATACATCTATTTATTATCTATTATGGGGATATGATGGGGATTGTTGATAGTGACGATGGCTGGTGAGTTTGGAACAGACTATTTGAAGCTATTGGTCCTGACGAAAAACTTGGTGGACGATCGAAGCACTGGAGGCACCTGGCGGCGCATTTTCCAGTCACAGCAGCTGTTTACCCTCTGGTAAACTAACATAACTATGGAAAATGGCCATAGAAATAGTGGATTTACCCATTAAAAATGGTGGATCTTTCCATAGTTATGTTAGTTTACCAGAGGGTACTTATCCTGTCATTGTAGCTGGTCTAGACTTTGATATTGATATCAATGCATCTGGAGGCTGGAGGCGTAGCAAATTTCTATTTATGTTTTCCAACCAAGAGATGCTTAAGTGAAAAGATGGATTGATCCAACATGATTCTTGCCATGGTCAAAACCTTGGTTATGTTTAGTTTAGTAGTTTAGTTATTGACCCTTTTTTCAGAAGATGGTAATGCACCAAGTAAATCAATTTTTAATATATAATCCCTAGTGGTTACGATGGGTGTAGTATCGTGTATGAAAACCCCTATTCTGGAAGGGATGACCATAGTGAAAAATAGATTGATATGACCTCACATACCCATTCTCATTATAATTCAATATATATATATATGGTATATACCATACTGGTACACCACATATTGAACCATTATAATCAGTTAATATATCATAGTTACTGTGGGATGCAATGGTCATCGAAGGAGAGAGCCTGACCTTGATTCCCAACGACGGCGAAGACAGCCGATGGGTCCGTGACTTTTTCCGAAAAAAGAAATGCAAATCATGTGCATGGAAATGAATTGTGTTGGAATGCTATTTTGATCCAGCTTTATTTGGGAATTGGATTGTAAATGATTGTAACAACTAACAACCTTTGAGTTTTGTCCACCATCTTGCAGACCATGAAGAACATCTACTGTGCAGGCATTTGGCAAAACTGCCGGTGGCAGCTGCGGTTGGCTTCCTCGAAAGTTCTGGAAGCAGGACTGGACAGTGTCCAGCTACTGGAAAGCTGAGCCAACTTAGAGGTAGCCTAGCTGGTTTCTATGGTGTCACCCTGCGGAGAATGACATTTTTCGACGGGAAGTCCCGAAAAGATCTTTTTGCCGAAAATCAATGCACCAGTCTAGAGGTCAGGAGGCCATTATTATCACGCGCTGTCAGGAGGAACCTGCTCGCAGGCCGGTACTGCAAGTCAAATTCTATCAGAAACAGGCAGAACTGAAGTCATGGGACTGTAATCAATGCATATCAATGCTGCTTTGCTGAGTTGTCATGCGGATCTGGTGAAGGAAAATATCTTGTTATCTGGTGTTAAAAACCGCACAAGGATGGTTGTTTCTTGCACATATTGCAGGTTACTAAGAACTTGAGAACACCATCCATGTATGCTGCGGTGATAGCACAACATGTTGAGAAAAAATGTTGCACTGACATCAGCATGATACGAGCAATTATGCAGTACTATGCTAAATATGTTGTTAAATGCAGACAATCATTAGTACATCAGTATCAATAGCATATTGCAATATACAGTACAGTACATTATCGTATTGTGACCATAGACAGCATACCCTCTGGTAATTTAACATAGCTATTGAAAATGGCCCAGTCGAAATAGTGGATTTACCCATTGAAAATGGTGGATCATAGTGGATTTTCCCAGCTACAAAATGGTGATTTTCCAGTTCGCTATGTTAGTTTACCAGAGGGTAGTACACACAGCAAACATCTGGTGATGTTTGGCTTTTAGCCTGCCAGGAGCTGCGACAGCTGCGATGAGTTGAAATATCAAATCGAGGCTGAAAACCGACATCTCTGCAAGAATTGGACGGGGAAAATCTACAGGAAGACCATGGAAACCTCTAGACTATGTATATATATATATGTATATATATATATTGGATGGACACCCCTATATGTGATGGTAAAACAGTGATTGCCTGTAGATTGTCCTTGAAACCAATTCATTGAGTCATCAACTTAAAGCGAATTGATTCAAGTCTTATCTTTTCTGTCCAGTGATTCTAATCACAATGGCAGTTATGCTTGAGATTTCCTAGTCAAGGTGGGAATGATGTTAGTGTTTCCACCTACAGACAATAAGCTGCTAGCAAATGAACCATGATTGAGACTACCTCGTGAGTACGTCAATTGACCGATGCCAACTTAGTGGATCTTAGCAGATGTGAAGGAACACATGTCACAAAGAGAAACACAAAACAAAGAATCGCAGTATTTGCACAAAGGCGGAGACTTTCCTTTGCTTACTCCTACTGCAATGAATGCACTGCCTTGGCGATTTACTGAACAGCCTTGGAGCCTTGAGCTGCAAAAGCACGACAGGCCATGCGCCGGCACATAGAGGAACTGCTGAAGCTAAGCCACGAGAGTGGCAAGGTGCGGAGAAGATCAGCAAATTTCAGCAGTCGTTCCCTCCCCATGAAACACCCCAGAAACAATGTTTTTTTAAAAAATTCATTTAAAAAAACATAACATTTATGGGGTGTTTCACCATTTATGAAGATGTTTCACCATTTATGATGATCTGGTTGGTGGTAGCAGGAGCCTGGCACCTTCAAAATTCTGCGGAAGGACATGGAGGGCCGTTATTATTTGGTGGAGGACGGGATCTCCGGAGAGCGTGCTGTGGAAATGATTTTTTGTAGTTCATCAGTTGAAATCAAATCACCCTGATATATCATGATTATAATATATTATATATATACATGACATTATTATGTTGTTTCCCCAGCAATCATGACAAATGACACGATTTGCACGGTTCTTCTGGGTTCTTCTCGACTCTTTCAGCTACTTGAAGGCTGGCAAGATCCCAGCAGGACTTGACGTGTCAGTCATGGCTTCCCATTTTGATGGCGCCGGAGCAGGCCACGTTGCCTGGTACCAACTTCACGCAGAACTTCAAGTGGCTGCAACCTTAGCGAAAAGTGGTCACAACCGAGTAAAGCTACGTTTACCAGGTCATGAGATCTTGAAATCTCCATGAATCATGTCTTTCCGCATTTCCAGCTGAGGAAATTTGCTGATTCAATCAAAGAGTATCAAAGAGTACTGGTACATATTGAAGATTGGCTCCACGTTTCTTACTTGTAATCATTGATTCCTCCAGAGCTGGACAGCACTCACAACACCGACATCTTGCAAAACGAAGACTGGCGCAGTTGTGTGCAGAATGGTGTAGAGGTTGAAGAATGGTGGGATAATTTCTATTGTAATTTTCAAATAATTTCAAAATAGATTTGCTAATGAGCTTGAAGTTTCTGGATGCGCATAGTCAGGTTTTTTATGCGATGCTTGCCGCTGCGAGGTATTTTGATCAGGCCGATTAATCAAAAGTGCCTTGGACATTAATTGTTTTTTTTTGCCGCGAGACCATGCAATGATTCGTCACTCTTCGACATGCCATGCCACGGCCCAAAAAATGATGCAAGGAAAAAATGCGTTTGTAATACTTTACAGTAGTTAATGACAGTTAATGCTATACAGATCTATATAGAATCTATACATATGCTATGCCAGATCCAAATTTGTGTATCTGTGAGCAGCTGAGTAAAGCAAAGGCTGCGCCTTGGAGATGGATGTCATATGGAATCCATGTGGCATGGCGGCTGAAGTGTGAAAAGCTCAGCACCTTGCGACCTTGGTTTTCGATGGAGGTGTTGACAACTGGGTATGGATCAATACCATTTTTAGGGGGATGAACATCCATTTACCAGCTATTTTGGGGTTCACTAGGTACCAGGGTTTTGACCCATCCCCAACTTGACAACTTGATCCAACCTCAAAAATATCACAGGAGATGTGGACAGCTACGTTTGTCAATCAATGGACCTGAAAGACACGATTGACTTCCATTTCTTGACTTGCATGGAAGTCATATATTAGCAGCTTAAGCGGCTTAAGCTGTTTCTTGATATCGGGAAAGCCGTTGAGTTTGATTCTGCCACAAAGCAGTTGCGGGACCCAGGGCCCCGTGATTCACAGCATGCCCTGAAGGGCGGCAAGCAATCACGGGTGAATCGCGGTTGAAGCCATGCAGCCATGCTGGTCCGGAAAAAACTGCATGCTGCAGTCCTGTACCGCTCCAAACTGGTGAGACCGCGATAAGTGGCAATGATTAGTGGCATCAAGTGGCATGACACGGATCTGCCAAGTTGACAGGGGCAGTATCTACATGTAGTATATAAATATAGATATGTGCATATATAATCATATATATATATTATCATACATATAATATATATATATATATCAATAAAAAAAGACAGTCCCTCGCTTTTCCTTAAACATTGGTTTGCAGAGAGTTGATTCATGTTGAAGCCACCCTTCGTCCTGAGATGTCATATCATTCAGACGTGCCTGTGTGGCTTTTTGCTCAGAACGTCGGACTTCACGCAGGCAAAATCTTCTCAAAGCCAGGATATCTGTGCTTTCCATCGATCATGGAATCGGCAAAACCTTTCGCGATCACTGAGCAGTCGCTTGAGTTTTTCACATCAGATCTTTTTCAGAAAACACATGCGGAATTTCTGTGCTTTGCTGCTATTGGCGAGTGCCGCACGGCACGGTTCTGGCCCAAGCACTCGTAGTTTTTTTCTATGAAAGTACTGGATTGATCATGATTGACATACGTTTTCTGACCCATTCTATGGATGATTTCATGGGATATTATATGTGATAATTGAACATATCATGGGATATCACCCATTGATCGCTATGGGATCTTGTTCGTTTTTTTGCATGTTGATGCGTTAGTTGACTGCCTTGGAAAGTTTCACGTTGACATGAAACGGAAATGAAATCACTCAAAAAGTCGATTCAGAAATCCTGGTGTTCTGAGGTGCTGCTGCGGAAACATGGAACTGTAATGTGACTCAGGACGCTGGATGAGCAACTTGTAGTCATTGCAGTTGTTCAGTCAATGGATAAGCTCCTTTTGATACAGACCAGTGAAACAATGTGAAACGAATCTTGCCTGTTGCAGAACCAACCTGGGCATGTCCAATTGGATTGCAATGGGTCCCTTGGCAGAGCGGCGATGGTGCATGACCTTTGTCCCACACCACAGATGTGTTTTTTTTGGTTATTCTGTTTTGGCACAATGACTTCAGTTCACTTTGTAGGGTACAGCTTAACAGCTTTACAATTTGAAAGAACCTGATATGAACACTTTGATCATTGAAGTTCACGATTTCTGCTACTGTACATTCCGCTGCTATTGCAGTGCTAGTTCTGGACATTGCTGGATATTTTTGCTCTGGACAGATGGCAAAGGAACAGATGATGATGTGATTACAGAACTCTGGTCAGCTGTGTTGATGAGCTAAAAGTATTAAGAAAGGCGTTACCCTTTGATCAAAAAATATCACAAGGAGAAAGCAGATTTGCAGCCAGCTGGTCTCACCTACAGAAGTGATACTTGTAGTGTGACATGTGATTTCTGCGAGCATTTTGCAGGCAGCTATTCATTCCAATGCACCACAGCGATAAACCGCAGGTGCACTTGACTGGATGGCCGCTACGGTTGTAAGACTCGGTCAGTCATATGATTGTTTTTCTTCATTGTTTTGCTCAAACCAGAAGAGTCGAAACATGTCGAAACATTGATTCATGGATGATTCTAGCAGAGTCTAGCCTCCATTCAGAGTCGAAAAGGCGAAGCGCTCAGACAGGTCTTCACGCAAGTCTGGTTCATCATTTGTGGCTGCGCATTTGGTCCATAGCCTCAGAGCTGTGAACCCATCTGGTTATGACTAACAGTTCGCCATGGAAAATCATCATGCTATTAATAGGTAAACGATATCTATAAATAGGCCATGGCTTCCATGGCTATGTTAGTCATAACCAGAGGGTAGATCCAATATGATCCAATGTTTCCAGAAGTTTCGAAAGATACGATTCCAGGAGTTTAGCGAAACGCTTCAGACTATTTCAGATGAGGTACGAATCATAGATGTACACCAAGGCGATTGGGCATTGTTGAGTTAGCTATAGACTGATGACTGATGATGACTTATACATAGATTAATTATATATATATAGCTTGGAGTTTGGAACCACCAGCAGCTAAGTCAGCTCAGGTTGCATTCTTTGTGCTGCTTTGGCCGCTGGCCTTACGCTGCTTGGACTCGAAATCGCACTTGAAGTCGGTCGATGCGTCGACTCGAAACTCGAGTGGAGCGGTTTCTGGTGAACGAATTTTCCATGTTTTTAAATATGTTTAAATCATCCTTCCATGCATCAGCTCATCTCCAAGTCATGGCATGTTAGGTTGGGTCTCACCTCCATGGAGGAGTTTGAGTTGAAGGCGCAGACGAGTGGGGATGGGCGGGGACTTAGACTTGGAAGTGATTCCCTCATCATCGATGATGATCAAAGGATGTGCGAACCAATTAATTATTGATGCAAACATTCACATGCAAAACAAGAGTGTTTTGAATACGCTTTCAAGTACGTATGTTTAAGTGGAAAATCTTTGGAAAGCCATGCTTGAAGATGTTTGATGCTTACTGCGTTGGGTACTGAAGCATTCCCACTCTGGTGAAACATGGGAATCGTATGCAGCCTGAGTTTAGATTCGGTGCAGAGGATTGCGTTGGGGCTGCCACAGTTCATAACATTGGTTTCTATTGCACGATTGTTTTGTACTTGCCTGGCACTTCTCTTCGCCCATCTTCACCCTGACGGTTTTGGAGGTTCTATGCAACCATTTGGTCGATGAAATTGAGTCACACACTCGGATCTGTCACCATTACTCTGTTGTTCTCGGAGCACCGGAAAATGCAGTTGTAGGCCATCAGACATGATTAGACCTGCCTTTCCATACATTTCACAGTGGGTTCATCCATGAAGATGGCAGGTGTTTGTCTCTTTGTATCTGACTTGGAGCAAGACACCAAAATTCGGTTTTAATTCTTGTACGTCTCGGCAACTGTTTGAAACGTCAAGAGGCAGTAGGATTACCCAAACAGAAGGAAACAACAAACATAGATGTAATGATGTACTGTATGATCATGCTGTATCATGTGTGCAGCAAATGGGCATCAAGGACGAATCTAGCAACTTTACCGTAGACTTAAACCATGCGAAGACGCAGAAATTGTAGAAATTGTGATTTCACAGGACAAGCCTTAGCCCATCTCAGCGGTAAGGCCAAATGCTACTCCAAGGAGGCCCTCCGTGGAAAACGGGCGCTGAAGCGCCGAGAGATGTTGAGTCAAATTGGTTCAAAACTCTTGGCGCTTGTCCTGACATTTGATGATTTTGATTAGGGTCAGAAGTTGGTGACAGACTGCAGCAACATGATTGCAGTCTGAACCAGTCTTTCCTGTACGTAGTCTTTATTGACATTTTCAAGATTAAGATTTCAATCCGCACTGCTGCTGGCACTTCCTCTGCTCTCAGTCGACAAGCAGCGCAGAGAAAACTTGTGCGGGACCAAGTTTTATTCGGGTTTTAGGAAAATAGTCCAAGGTCAGAAAAAAGGTCGCCCTTGTCGAGAGGCCTTTGCTGGCACTTTATGTTGGAAGGACACTGTTCATTCTGTGTATTCTGTCTTGATTTGTATTCAAGCAGATCAATGGATCATGTGGGCTAAGGAATACGACCAGTCCTGTGCAAAGCGAATTTTGCCATTGATTTCAGGGCGACTTGGCTGACAAATGAGAGCTAGAAAGAGCACCTGCAAACCCACTGAGGAACTTTGTTGACAGATCGATAAGAGATGGTTTTTGAATGTATTTGAAGGTTTTGGTGGTTCCAGGTACTTGATCTTGTGTCGGGGGGTAGATGGTAGGCCCTGGTAAGCAGTATAGCTGCTTGGCCTATCACTTGCGTGCTGAAATGGTTGTTTGAGAGTGCGTTTGGATCCCCCACAGACGTGGTTAAAAGCAGATCCGGGTGCATAATTTTTCAGCAATCCAAGAAATCCGAAGGGCTTACCTGTGCAAGGACGTTTATGCAGACCACGAAAGAGAGCTGGGTCTTGAAACTCAGAGTGAAAGATGCAAAAAGGGTCATAGGATGTCATAATCGAAGGAAGTTTAGAAGTCAAACTTCCGACAATATGGACAGATGAAAAGCAGAGATGGGAAGAGTCAGAGAAGAGAAGAGAAGAAGAAAGAAGATCAAAAAAGATAGTCTCAGAAGAAAGAAGATCCAGGTGCGCGAAAAGGTAGGAAAGTCGCGAAACGCTGTGTTTTCCCAATGATTTGTGGCTCCGGAGGGTCGAAAAGAAGGCTCGCTAAAGCGGCGAGTGCGGAGCCAGCTGGCCAGATGAGAGATGACAAATTGCACGCCGTTGTGGCGCGAAATGCAACACACTTCAGCTTCGGAGCACTTTTAGTTGCGATGTCGAAAAAGCGCACGCCGTTGTGGCGCGAAGCACATTTCGAAGTCAAAAGTGTAAAAAACTGACGGGCTCAGAGCACTTTTGGAAGTTGCGATGTCGAAAAAGTGCACGCCCTTGTGGCGCGAAGCACATGTCGAAGCCAAAATGTACAAAACACCACACGTTTTTGCGTGGCAGGCGCAAGGGATTGTGCACCTTGTCAAAAGTGAGCAAAACGTGAGGGTTTTGTGGCATTTCCAAAAACGATGGCAGGCGTGGGACATTTGAAGAGGATCTGCAAAGATGCATTTTCCGTGGCAGGCGCAGTACAAGAGACATGTTCATCAGAGCTGTTAGGAGGTCCGGGCGCTGATTTCCTGAGAGGGTTTGCATTTTGGAGCATCAGATCTTCAGGTTTGCTGAGATGATTTTGCGTGACAGGTGCAGCATTTCGTATGACGTGGCAGCACTTTTTCATGGCAGGTGCAGTACTTTAGACAGGTGGAGTGAAAAAATCGCAAAACACATTGGTATGAGGCCGTCAGCTCTGCACTCAACTTTCCATGTTTGAAGGAAGTCTCGCAGAATTGTTTCGTTTTTGATGTTGTCAGCTTCGAAAATTGAGGACGTCTCGCAGAATTGTTTCGTTTTTGATGTTGTCAAGTTCAAAAATTGAGGAAGTCTCGCAGAATTGTTTCGTTTTTGATGTTGTCAAGTTCAAACATTGAGGAAGTCTGGCAGAATTGCTGCGTTTTCAAGCTTGCAGGTAGACAGACAGACAGACAGACAGGCAGGCAGGCAGGCAGACAAACAGATAGATAGATAGATAGATAGATAAATAGATAGACAGACAAGTACAAGTACAACTACAACTACAACTACAACTACACTACACTACTGCTACAGCTACAAATATACTCTGCTACATTACACTACACTAATTACACTACACTACACTAATTACATCTATTTACACTACACTACACGAATTACACTAACAACTACAACAACTACTACTACCACAACTACAATTTCAACTACACTACACTACACTAATTACACTGCGGCACACTACAACTACAAATACAACTACAAATACAACTACAACTACAACCACACTACATTACACAACGCTAATTACACTACAACGACAACTACAGTTGCAGCCGCAACTGCGACTACAACTACAACTACCACTACATTACATTACACTACGCTACACTACACATACTACACTACACGACACGACACGACACTAATTACACTGCACTACACTACAACTACAACTACACTACCTTACACTAGACTACAATACACTATACCACACTACACTACACTACACTACACGACATTACGCTGCACTACACTACACTAGTTACATCACACCACGACTGCAATTGCCAATAAATTAGTTACAGTACAGCTACAGCTCCACTCCACTCCACTACACTACAACTACAGCTACAACTGCAACTACAACTGCACTACACCACACTACATCCAACAGTTGCGGTAAGGTGACCACTGCAACCATTGCAACCATTCCAAGAACACAACTCCAACCACCTGTCGGTCCATCAGTGGATTCGCCCTGCCATCCGTGATTCACAACAACCAACTTCTCCTATAGGTTTCCATAGGTTTCCTATTCTTGAAACTTCCGCCACCGCCTTGCGCGGTACTACTGGTACGTCATAGGGACATATCGGTACCATATCGGCACCACATCTGTACCATATCGGTCCTATGGCTTGATTCAAACTAGGAGACGAAGAGTGCATCAATCAGCTGCAAGGTGTAAGCCGCTGCTGTTCCATGTGAAAATTGTATTTGCTTGTCAGGCTCATGCATTGGATCCAAGCAATCAACACTACCTGCTGGGCCACTCAGTTTCGACGAATTCTTCAATGCTTCTGCACGCGTTTACCTGATCAAGTGATCCTTTTGCATGACCGATCGAATTTATCCCAGCTTTGATAGTTTTGCCTCTCATCTTGAATGTCTTGAATAGCCCTAACTGGTTTGTGTCTCCATAATAAGTAAATATTTTTTTGATGTGTGTGAAATTTACATGGTCTGATTCTGAGGTTGGTCACCCTCTTGCTACTCAATGCTACTGCAAACGAAGCGCTTCCGCTTTTCTTGGATAGGCTCATGATGCCTTGCCTAACAAGACATGGGCAAGGCATCAAACTCATCACCCTGTATTGGTACTTTAAAACAATACGTTTAATTAAAGAACATGAATTAATTCTGAATTACTGTCAACTTGATGTTCTGTGTTTTCTTTTTTTGTTTGAGACCTGACACTGGGCAGGTTGGTTCCTTCTTGGATGGCGTGCTTGTTGTCAGCAGGGACCTCACTTCGAGGATTTTTTTCATTGATCGCGAACAAGGGTGAGATGCTCTTTGGGAGATCATTCTGTTAATATGTGTTAATATACTGACCCCGGTCGCAGCAGTTTCTTACGTTTCTTGAATGTCTAAAAAACCGCATGCAACTCCAGCATGAACAGTAACAGATATCCATTGGGTCACCATTGGGTCACCCTCAGGTCACAGTTGTGCTCTTCTTTGGTGAGATCATTCCATCTGCGGTCTTTACTGGGTCAGTCCCCCAGGATCTCCCATGTCGGTCACAGCCGATGCCCACAGGGAAAAAACCTGTCGGATATGTTGACAGAAGCATCGATTTTTTTTTGGTTGGCAACTAACGTTGGCTTCAATCATGTGAAATCCAAATGATCAACATCTTCGATTTTTTAACAAATGGCTTAAATATGCTTAAATGATCAGTTGATGAAACAAATGGTGGGTCAATTGATAGGTCCATTTGTACCCCCAGGGTTTGATCATGTTTGATCCAACCCGGTGCCTTTTTTGGTCCAAACTGTGAGGCCAAGGCAGCTGTCACTTGCGGCCGCGCTGTCTCCGCCACTGGGAAGAAATACCAGGGAAGTCTTGACATTCATTCAGAATCCAGTCGAAATTCATTGAAATCTGATAGAGTCATTCAAAATCCATTCAAAATCCATTGAAAATCCATTCAAAATCCATTCAAAATCCATTGAAAATCCATTCAAAATCCATTCGAAATCCATTGACATGTTAAATCTATGGAGAGCACATCGAAAATCCAGCAGAATCCTTCTTGACTTAAATGTTCAGAACTATTTTGATGAGATATGAAAAAATATGAAAAGGCTGGTGGGCTTCGCCAAACGCATTTTCGCCTGTGGCTGAGTCTGCCGTTTGATTGACGAAAATCGGGTCGAGGGATCGAGTCTATCGAGTCTTCAGGTTGTCGATAAGCGTCAGCTGAGGCACCGATCGTGCTGCCTATCAGTTTGATGCTGGACAAGGCAAAGCGGCACATGGACAGCATGGACAGCACACAGGTCATCTCCCCACTTCCGATCCCAATTAAGTGGAGAATACATGGAGAACATTCTTGCCATAGCATGCCATAGCATGTCTAATGAGGCTTGATTGTGGGTCCTTCGCATTCCGAGTGTCTTCCGAGCAATGAATCGTCCTTTGAGCGGCGGATGCCTGCGTTGGATGCCAGGTGCTGGGTCATTCAGAAGATCCTTACTCCAGGGCGCAGATCAAAGCTTTGATTAGGACGGGAGGGGTGCCAGTGGTGCCAGGGCTTGCCGATACCATTGACTTGTCACAAAGGTTATGGTCTGCACTAGGGGCTCGAGGATGTTGAGTCCTCTTTGAAACATAAATGCTCCGGGTGTCCTAAAGCCCAACCATGTTTAGGTCATTGCGGCAATGGACAACTTGTGCTTGCCAACCGAAGCGCGCGCATGACCAGCGTCAGAGTCTCCACCATAACACATTCAGGTCTTCTGCGGCCACTCAGTGTTTGGTTTCAGCAACATGTTTTTTTTGGCAGGCAGAATATGGCAGAATTGCAGCCAATCAGACGGCCTTTGGATTGGATATGACCAGAGTGGTTGATGAATTGTTTTTTGTGCTCGCATCAGTTGCAAACAGTTTGCTTCAAGAAGAAGAGGACCATCCACACACAAGAGAGCAACCTGGAGATTGATGAGGCGGGCCTAGCAGACAAAATATTTCGCTCTGCAGTGTTGAGAAGCTGTGGGCACTCAAAGAAAGTCCAACAAAAACAGTTGATGAAAATGACTAAGATGACCATGCTAAGAAGGAAATGTATGGAAGTGTCGTGTGAGGAGATGCTTAGTAGCTCTTGCCCAGCAAAGCATAATTTCTTATTTCTGTGTGATTTGTTGCTAGAGGACCATTTGTCACTAGCTTGTTGTGTTATTGTACCTTTTTGGAGGCCAACATGTTGCAGGGTGTCCTGGAGATGCATCACAAGAAGGCGAGACAATTTGGCGAAGTCTGAAAGAAACCATGCGCTTGTTCTTCGACCATGCTGCCAAATCCACTTAGAGGAACGTTTGCCATACTTTCCAACATAATATATATATATATTAATATACTATAATACAATAACGTTTTGCATACGAAGCGAGTCTTCCCAAACTGTGATGTTTGCAAGGTTGACTTTAGTCCCAGAAAGGTTTGACATCGGCTGAGAGGCCCAGGATATTGCATGGCCGGTCAAGGAAGCCAAGATGGTACCCCATGTTGCGGCCTCGAATCAGCGTTTGAGGCCCCTAAATTGAAAGCGCTTGAGCAGTGTGTTGAATAAATAGTGTGCACGGTCCGGTTAACATCGGTTAATCTGGAAACAAGAAAGAGTTCTTGAGGCTTGGTCTAAAGAGTTTGACTGCAGCTTTTCCCAACAAGGATCGGCTCCTGACCCAAGAGTGTCGGGTGCCCAGCAACAGCTCAAATTCACTGTAGGGCTTTGTAGGGCTCCAAACTTACCGTCACCCAAGCAAGACAAAGCTTTTTGTCCGTTCAGCTCATAACATCATCCCAGTTGCATTCAAATTTCCCTCATCATTGTGCACAAGTTCAATTTGTTTCCTGTTCACCAAAGTTAACATCTATTAATGGGGTTAATATTGGTCAATAGATACCATCTATTAACATCATGATGGGGTTAATCATGGTTCAATAGTAACCCATTATGATTAACCACCAAGTACATTTGAGCAGAGGCTGGCTAAAACCATGGTGTTTCTCTCAGGCGTCAATGAGATCATGGACTGGGGGCATTCCAGGTGCCCTCAGTAACAGCCAGAGTTTGCTGTTACTGAACCCAGATGCAGCTTTGCAAGACCTACCACTTGCGTAATAGTTTTGCAATCTTGCCAGTTTTCCATGTGTGTATCTATTTATCCAAATTTTATATCATGTCCAGCCAGTGACTGCCAGTCTATGTCTCGGTGATGATTTGAGTGATCAAAATTATGAAGAAACTTGTGAAGTATAATAGATATATATAATATATATATATAGAGATATAGATATAATAGCCAGAGTTCTGTCATTCGGAAGCAGTTCCACTATTTTTCAGTTGACTCCGGGTGGAGCTGCTGTGGAGAGGCTCTTTATTTATCGTAAAGATGCGTCTGATCCAGACAGAAAGGACGACATCATAGGCTGGGGAAGTGAACCAGTGGTGTCAGCGGCGATTGTTGAGTTGTCGCCAGGAATATCCAGCCAGCCATTTTGAATTTGCTGGTTGGTGGTGACTGGAACCATGGAATTTATGACTGTCCATTCAGTTGGGAATGTCATAGCCCCAACTGACGAACTCTAATATTTTTCAGAGGGGTAGGTCAACCACCAACCAGTTTGGTTTTGACCTCTCTATCAATCAAAGTCATGCTGAAAACGTCTGGGTTTGGCGGGTGCGGTGCCAGGTGTGGTGCTGGTGAAGAAACTCATTGGTATCTCAGTGGCCCCCACAGATGTCGTTCATGGTCAACTGCCCCAGCTGGGTTCAGGGAGGACCAGAAAGTGGTGACAAAAAAACATGCAGTGAATGCAGTGTTTTGGACAGGCAACATGTTCCTATGGTTCTAAAAGAGTTGGTGACCGTTACACAGACTGTTACACTGTTTTTGTTTCTGTCCAGATGACTTCCATATTTTTCATAATAAAAAATGGGATGGAACGTGATCCGGAAGATTATTTGATCCCATGAAAGTCGTGCGGACTGTGAATCACAGACATCACAGCTACCAAGTGACTGGGGGTTCGTCCTTAAGGTAAAAACACGAAGTCTTCAGGTGAGCAGCCGCCAAAACCTCCAAGTGGAGATTTAAAGGGCATGTAAAGTAAGATGGCTCCGCGAAAGCTAAAACCACGTTCGCGAAAGATCCGCGAAAGCTTTTGCGAAGATTTGCTCCCGCGAAAGCTCGCGAAAGAGACTTTCAAGGCTCAAAATCCTGGTTTTAAGATGTTTTAAGTATGTTTGTAGACAGCTTCCTCAGATGTATCTGGATCCATACGGATACATTATTCACAAATTTCTATACAGTAGATGTGACCCGAAAATCCGCGAAAGCTTCGCGAAAGCTCCACGAAAGATCCGCGAAAGCCCTGACTAGCTGGGATGGCCCCTCCCGATTTGATTGGGGAGTGGCAGTAAGATACCCAAATGTGTCCAAAACATGCGGGAACTACCAAGAACTAGCCATTCCGGCTTGCAAAGGACCTCAGCATGAGAAATATTCATGACCACCAGTATACACGCAACATACAAGAATACCCAGAAAGAAAGCAATGTAGCAGATGCATCACACAGATATACCACTCTTATGCAACCAAGCAATGCAGAAAATATTGCAGCCACGTAGCTGAATTGGGCACTTGCAACGGGCCAACGGTAAGATTTGCTCAAGATTTGACTAGCTGGAGACGATGAACAGAGATCGTGGAGCCGTCGATGAACTTGTGAAGGCTCTTGTGACTGCTAAGGTCCAGAGTCGAAGTACAGAATCGTGATTCTTTGCATGTCTTGTTCAAGCCACTTCATTGCAGTTGCAGCGGTTGAAAAATAGATCATCAAAGGCAAGACTTTTAGTGCCAGAGACATGTGCGAAAAACTTCTACTGCACAAAAAAGGGACTGCAGACAGATGGTCGGAAAATTAGGCCTGGCTGTTGCTCTGCACCGCCTGGTGGATCTCCAGTGCAGTGAGCACCAGGTTTTGCTTTTGAAATTTGAAATCATGGTCGGTGAAGTGAGCGTCTATGATCGTCTATGACTGCAGTTCAACATAGTTCAACTATGAAAAGTGTTCGTAGTAGTCAGTCAATCACCTTTTCAAGACTCCGGAATGAGTGGGACTGATTTAATTCTCCTTGTTGATTCGGGTGCCAGGGGAACTTGCTGCACGCAGTCAAGCGCCCCGTGGTGCTCAGCCCTAACGAAAATCTGCTGGCCACACTCAACAAGCGCCTTGTTTGGAAATGTTTGGAACTGTGGTGATGGATTTGGGGGAAGTTCACTTGAGGGGATTAACTCAATATGAGGACAATTGTACCACATCTTACGGCCGTTTGTGTTTGTGCATGTTAAACTGGGACGATCATATTTATTTAAAAAGGAGGATCAAACACGCTGCGCTTGGCTTTGATTCAACTTTTTGAGATTTCTTGTGAATGTTGCTACTGTGCAGCACAGTAGATGTTGGTCGATGCAGTACATTGCAGTACTATGTACATGTTAATCCATGGCTTCCAGACACGTGACATCCATTCAATCCATTCCTACAATTTGTCCATCTCCGACAGGTTTCAGAGTGGAACTTGCCATTTGGCCCGGCGCCTCGAGATCGTTCGGTATAGTAGGGCCCAAGGAGGGTCCAGCCATAGTCTGAAATCTTCCGAAGAGCTTGTTGCGAAAATCCATGGCTCCCTGTCCCGTCGTTCAGTTTGGCAAGAATACACAGAGAAGGATCCCCAAATATCCACAATCAATTTTGAATCACATGTTGGACATTGTTGGACTGTCACTGTACTGAACCTAACCCTCCCGGGAAGCTGATTCTGGGTGCCTTGAGGCATGCCTTGATGTATCTCCCGAGGCCATGATTTCACCAAGACCAGATGATTGCATGGAGGCCTTGCGTTGCCAGGTGGGGATTGCATGATTTGCATGGACAATAGAGAATGCTGACTTATATTGCATTATATTTGCCCTTGTCGATGAGAAACATGAAATGCACTTAACAACATATAACTATCATTCCATCTCATATCACTTGAAGATGTCACTTGTGATATTCGAATATATTTGATATATCTCAAATCATACTTGTGTTTGACACTGTCATTGAGCGGACATGTTTGCAAGACAGTGCTGATCGGGAGAAACAAGCTTAGGGCGGATCATTGCGGATCAATGAAGTCGAATGAGAATCACGTTTGATCGGCGGATGTTCCAATGCGACAGGTTGCAATCCCAGAGGACGCTCGACCAACGATGTTTTGTTCTCTGGAGGATGTGATTGAGGACAGTCACTGTCAGCATATGTCAACACGTTGGGTTGAAGTTCAGTGCCTGTTCCAGAGCAGTTCCTCGGAATCTGCTCAGCTGAGATACCGAAAAATGTGCACCGTGTTTTCTTTTTTCGCGACGGGTGATGAACGGGGGAATTGAGCTGAGCCGTCCTTCATTGTTCTTACCACTGGCAAGACCTTGGCAAGCTGAACAGATACTTTGAGATACTTGAAGCGCCCTATCATTCGAAGGCCATTGCATCATTTTACAGTCAGGCCAAAGATGTTGGCCTAATATGGCGCGACTATATCATGCATGGAGAATTTGGGATTTGCATGGATTTGCCATTTTGCAGATTGACATGCGCACCCCTGAACTTGGGTGACCTTTTCACTGATGAGGAGATGCTCAAAGAAGAAATCTATGATGAAGAGGTGGGAGCATGGGCGCGCCTTCAGCCAAAGGTAAGGGTCTCCGCAACGCTCATCTTTGTCATTGGCCTGATCCGTTTTCCAACGTCTATAATCGAATGGAACTTTGAGGTTAGTTGCATCCACATGGGTATGGATCAATACCTATTAATACCATTTTTAGTGGGATGAACATCCATTTACCAGCTATTTTGATGTTCACCAGGGGTACAAGGTTTTGACACACTGCCACATGAGTGTAGTCAAAGTTAATCTCTTGAGCGCGAGAAAGGGAAATTGCAGTTCTTGGGTACTGGCGATTACGTTCAGTATGACGCTCTTGGGTGCTATTGGCAGACGGTCCTGGAACAACTGTCCTCAAAGTGATGTCTTACGAGGTTTTCTTGACTCTGGCAATTTAGCCTGACCACAGCACCTTTTGATGTTTGACTTCAACAAACTCGTGGAGCTGTTCTGAGGTAGTTGGATGTGTACAATATATCAATCTATGTCACTTATCCACTGCGAAAAAGACACCCCCCATCTGAAAATGGCTGAAACCTTGACGAAGAGATTCATGTCTGCTTTTGGTTCAACCTGCATCCTGAAACATGTTTCTTCATTTAGCAGAGTGACAAGGATGCATTTCGCCACATGTGGAGCTAAACAGAGGACAAGGAGCTTCAAAGACACGCGCCAGTGGCACCAGAAGATTCTTCTCCTGCTAAGAGGCCTGCCTTGACAATCATGGACGAAATAAATGGCAAGCTTCATTTTGCTGCTTGAAATAACTTGAAATAGATGCCTGAGCTCTTGTCAGTTGATCTCTTCATGTCTCTTCTCTATTCTGTGGGGTCCTCTTTTCAAAATCCTTCAACGAGATCTTGCCACCAGGGCCCGCAACCTGATGCTCAATATCAAGGTTGGACGACGCTTCGATTCGAGGCCTGAAAGTGAAGTGATTATTCGAAAAGAACATGAAACTGCAATAAAAATCCATACAAGGTGCTGCTTTATCATGTTTTATCGGCTTTTACTGTAGATGATTCGTTTCCTTGACATGCGATCTAAAAAACGTCAGGTTTCGTCGATCACTGTCAGACGTTTGCAAGTTCCTTGGATCCGGAATTTGGATAGTTTGGTGGCTTTAGTCTATGCTTTACTGTTTGGTTTTCACAGGATCTAACCACACAAAAAACCCTTTCGAACCTTCCTTTAAAATGATGCTCGTATCTATCAAATCAAATAGTGTGCGGCGGAATACAGCGGAATACATGATATTTCCAAGTGCAAAGATATGCTGGTATACTTGCCGACCCACTTTGTCGGCACGACTTTGCACCTGATGCGAAGGCGGATAGATGCGGATAGCATGGATAAGCCTAGACCCTGATTTCAGTACAGATGATACCCATGGAAAAGTGAGCGCACCTTGTCAAAGGTATAGTGCTCAAAATGTGCTTCTGTTTGTTGATTTCTGTGGTTGCACTTGAGTCGTGACTGGTTTCCAGATTTGCTGAGGGAAAGGACCAGGACCGGTTCTATGCTGGACGTGGAGGTTGGTGAAGGCCCGGGCTCAACGGCTGAACTGAAACCCGGGGCCGCCAGTTTTGTTTGCAGACGAAGTGATGTCCAAGGACTGTTGAGCAATGTTGAACAAATATGAACAACTTAATACACATTATATATAATTTATTAAGGGCTGCCGCCCCTGCCGCCGACCCCGGAAAAAATCCTAAATCAAACCCTACGTGAAACCCGACAGAAACCCAAAAGAAACCCGAAATAAAACTCTTAAGAGATGTAAAATTATTTTGTTCTATTCTCTGCTGTTTGTATCCTAAATGAAATTCCCCACCTGCCAGGTGAGGGTTGTTAGATTTTATGTCAGTTGCCTGCTCCTCTCCTCCTCTCCTCTCCTCCTCCTCCTGCTCAACCGCGACCCTCAACGCACAGTGTTCTCTGTCGGACCTCAACCACGACCATCCACGCCCAGTGTTCCCTGCCGGACCTCAACCACGACCATCCCCACCCAGTGTTCCCTGCCGGACCTCAACCACGACCATCCACGCCCAGTGTTCCCTGCCGGACCTCAACCGCGAGTATCCACGCCAAGTGTTCCCTGCCGGACCTCATGTAGGAAGATATGGGACAAAGAATGTGCAGAAGAAAGTTAGAAAGAATGTCAGACAAGTATGTTATATATTACTTGCAAGCTCGTGCGTGTGTGGTAGAGTGACCGGGGCAATGCCACTTCTTACTTTGCAGGTGGCAAAGTTTGAAGCAATCAGTTTGAACAGATGACAGAGTCACTGGGGTGGACAGAGACATTTCCACTTCTGTACCTTTGGAGCTGTTTGCAAAGACGCTTGAGACAGGCAACATCTTACAGCAAGTTACTACAAATTACTTGAAGTGATCTCATGCTGGATTGATGCTTGAGACAGTCAACATCACACAGGGTTTCTGTTGTGTATCACAGCTATGGTGGCATGGTGGATATGTGACATCGGAACATTTGTTGGAGCATTTGAGCCCTCATCTACTCGATCGCGGGCCAGAGGCAGGATGGACATCATCATAGAAGAATTCAGCAGGAGGAGGTTGTGTGATCAGTAGTGTCTTCTTGCGTGTTTTTGTTTGCTTGGCAGGTGATGGCAGAGGGTGACCAATCTGCGAGTGCTGCGCAGGCCAGGAGTTTGAGTGGAAGTAAGCACATTGGCCAGTGGCTGCTTTCAAAAGTGTTGGATAAGGGATTTGGAAAGCATTCCGGTCCATGAACAGATGACAGAGATCAGTTTGAAGAACTAACCACGGACTTGTTCAAGCATGGTCACGTCATTGGAATGTATTGGGAGAACATTGCTCGCAGCATGGTGGAACGGGCAAATCGAGATGCGCAAGACCTGGATGTGCCGTTATTTTGTTTGCAAGCTGCTGACCAAAGGCATTCCAGAAAAAATAAAGCCATAGACAAGCAGCTGACACATCAGCTGCTCACTGTTCCAAACCCGCATCGCACTGGCAAATTGCAAGGCATGCTACTGGTGCACGAGAACATGGTTGTGCGACTGGCGGATGTCTTGGCTCCACACCTTGGATTGGTTAAAGACAAACTGGCAGTGGTAGTGAAAGTGGATTTGCACCATGAAGATCAGAAGCGCCTGGACCGTCGGGAACCTGGATTCTGTCATTTTTTCCGGACTACATGGCCAAAGGTATCTGGGTGAAATTACTTAAAGGAAAGAATTCGCCCATGGAAGATGCTCTGTTGCAGACGTGGGAAGAAAAGTTTCAGAATGTGGCCGATCACACAACTGACGCAAAGACATTGTTCTTTGTGGAATTGGTGCATGCAGAGTTCAAAATTGATTTGAAACTAGGCGAGGAAACGGAGAAAATTGAAGTGATTCGCTGGCAGTTCCCGCTTTTGCATGGCATGCTGCGCACTGCTTACAGCGCGCAAGGCTTGACTTTGGACGGAGGTGTGCTGGTTGATTTGCGTCGTGGTGGTGGCCTAGAGGATGCCGACTGGTGGCTAGCCATCTATGTCATGCTGACGCGTGCCCGCAAACTGAAGAATCTCATCTTGCTGGGGTTCACGGAGCAAGTGGAGGAGCCTTTACGCAGAGGCCCTCCTACCTACTTGCGAGAACTGACTGGCAAGTTGGAAACCAAAGCTGCTTCGACGCTGGAGCGGCTGCAGTCCTGGCCTGTCTATGATGCATTGCAAGCATCCTGACACAGTGCTCTGCCAGTGGGACCTAATCGGTTTTGACTGAAGAGGTCCGGGGGAGGCATAGGCCTGACACGTTGCTCTACCTGTGGGACCTAATCGGTTTTGATTGAAGAGGTCTGGTGGAGGAATAGAGAGTTGCAGCTGCAGCGATCTGGTGAAGTAACACTGGCATGGTTTTGTCTAGTTTACACACCAGCTTGCGAGCTTTTGACTTTGGTTCAGGTGGTCCACTGGCTTGTTTCAGTCATGTTTTTACAAACATGTTTGACAGGCGGTGTGCTGACATGTTTGGGCATGTTTGTTTGTTTGGCTCAGGTGGTCCACTGGCCTGTTTGGTCATGTTTAAGCAAACCTGTTGAGAGCTCTGGAGTTTACTTCACATGGCCCACTGACATGTTTATATCCTGTTTGACAGTCTGACATGCACAATGACCTGGTGAAACAAATGATTGGGATAGTTAGTTGGGCAAAAGTCCCGTGACAAAAGCTTCAGACAAAAGTGGTGTCAACAAGCTGTTTTGAAATGTCATGGTGGGGATCACTCGAAGCAAAGTAATTTTAAAGACTCTAGGTGAAAACCAAAGAAACTCTAAAGAATTGCTGCTAAGAAACCCCTACATGAAGCACTAAAGGAACCCTAAAGAAATCATAAATTGACCTAAAGAAACCATAAATGAAAGCCCAACGAAACTTTGAATGAAACTCTAAATGGCATCCTAAAGAGAGCCTAGGATGGCAAGTTCCCTGGAGGCCGGAACGTCCCTTCTGAAATCGTACTAGAAATCCTCTGTAATCCTGCTATCCTGCTAGAATCCTGCTAGAAATCGAATCCAATCCAATCCATCCAATGTTGACGTCCCTTCTGGATCTTGTTAACAACAAAGCAACTGCTGCTGCAGGCTTCCAAGACGTACCCCTCGCCACACCGAAACACCATGGCCCTGAAGGACGGAACGACCTCCAAATCAATCGCAAGAACAAGTTCCCTGGAGGCCGGAACGTCCCTTCTGAAATCCTACTAGAAATCGTCTCTAATCCTGCTATCCCTTATCCTGCTATCCTGCTAGAAATCGAATCCAATCCAATCCATCCAATGTTGACTGCTGCTGCCAGCTCCCATGCCCTCAAAACAGCTCCACAACGAAGTCCTAGCGGGCGGTTGCGAAACAGCCAAACACCATGGCCCTGAAGGACGGAACGACCTCCAAATCAATCGCAAGAACAAGTTCCCTGGAGGCCGGAACTTCCCTTCTGAAATCCTACTGGAAATCCTCTCTAATCCTGCTATCCCTTCTCCTGCTATCCTGCTAGAATCCTGCTAGAAATCGAATCCAATCCAATCCATCCAATGTTGACTGCTGCTGCCAGCTCTCATGCCCTCAAAACAGCTCTACAACGAAGTCCTAGCGGGCGGTTGCGAAACAGCCAAACACCATGGCCCTGAAGGACGGAACGACCTCCAAATCAATCGCAAGAACAAGTTCCCTGGATGCCGGAACGTCCCTTCTGAAATCGTACTAGAAATCTTCTCTTATCCTGCTATCGTGCTAGAATCCTCTCTTATCCTGCTATCCTCCTTTTTCGAAACACAGCCGAAACGGCAAAACACCACCTAATTTCGTTCCGAAAATGACGCAAAATCAATCACAAGAACAAGTTCCCTGGAGGCCGGAACGTCCCTTCTGAAATCGTACTAGAAATCCTCTCTAACCCTGCTATCTCTTATCCTGCTATGCTGCAGGCTTCCAAAATGTACCCCTCGCCACACCGAAACACCATGGCCCTGAAGGACGGAACGACCTCCAAATCAATCGCAAGAACAAGTTCCCTGGGGGCCGGAACGTCCTTCTGAAATCGTACTAGAAATCCTTTCTAATCCTGCTATCCCTTATCCTGCTATCCTGCTAGAATCCTGCTAGAAATCGAATCCAATCCAATCCATCCAATGTTGACGTCCCTTCTGGATCTTGTTAAAAACAAAGCAACTGCTGCTGCAGGCTGCCAAAACGTACCCCTCGCCACAAACAGCAAGGCCTTGAAGGACAGACTGGCAAGTTCCCTGGGGGCCGGAACGTCCCTTCTGAAATCGTACTAGAAATTTCCGATCCTCTCTAATCCTGTCCTGCTATCCCTTCTCCTGCTATATCCTGCTAGAATCCTGCTAGAAATCGAATCCAATCCAATCCATCCAATGTTGACGTCCCTTCTGGATCTTGTTAACAACAAAGCAACTGCTGCTGCAGGCTTCCAAAACGTACCCCTCGCCACACCGAAACACCATGGCCCTGAAGGACGGAACGACCTCCAAATCAATCGCAAGAACAAGTTCCCTGGGGGCCGGAACGTCCCTTGTGAAATCGTACTAGAAATCCTTTCTAATCCTGCTATCCCTTCTCCTGCTATCCTGCTAGAATCCTGCTAGAAATCGAATCCAATCCAATCCATCCAATGTTGACGTCCCTTCTGGATCTGGTTAAAAACAAAGCAACTGCTGCTGCAGGCTTCCAAAATGTACCCCTCGCCACACCGAAACACCATGGCCCTGAAGGACGGAACGACCTCCAAATCAATCGCAAGAACAAGTTCCCTGCAAGCCGGAACGTCCCTTCTGAAATCGTACTAGAAATCCTCTCTAATCCTGCTATCCCTTCTCCTGCTATCCTGCTAGAATCCTTCTAGAAATCGAATCCAATCCAATCCATCCAATGTTGACGTCCCTTCTGGATCTTGTTAAAAACAAAGCAACTGCTGCTGCAGGCTTCCAAAACGTACCCCTCGCCACACCGAAACACCATGCCACTGAAGGCTGCGGCTGCCTGCCTGCTGCTGCCTGCTGCACCCTGCTGCTGCCTGCTGCTGGTGCAGCTGCTGGTGGCTGCTGCTGCTGCTGCGGTGCTGCTGCAATCAAACAGCCTCCAAAGCAAGAAACAAACAGCCAGACACCCTTTTCGAAACATCCGAAACAGCAAAACAACACCTAATTTCGTCCCCAAAACATAGCAAAGGAACCCCCCAAAAATTGAAACTTTGCCGCTGCCTGCTGCTACCTCCTACTCCTACTTGTGGACCGCACAAGCAACAAAAGCACCTGCCAACAGCTGGCTGCTCTGCTACTGCTACTTGTGAGCGAAATCATTCGCAATAACAAGCTCCCCGGAGGCCGGCTTTACTTCTCCTGCTGTTGCTGCTGCTGCGCCGGCTGCGGTAGTAGTCCGAAACAAGTGTCAAAAAGTATTATTCCCTGGCGCGCTCCCCCTCGCGTCTGCCGGGGTCGGCGGATATATAGTACTGTATAGTACTGGCTGCCTGCTGGCTGCTGCAAAAACGTGGGTCCCGGACAGGGAAACACCATAGCAGTGAAGGACGGAGGCAGCTGCAGCTGCAGCTGCCGCTGCTGGTGCTGTCGTCCGCTGATGCTGCTGCTGCTGCTGCTGCTCTTGCTGTTCCTGCGCTGCTGCTGCTCCTGGCTGCTGCTGCTGCTCTTGTTGTTCCTGCGCTGCTGCTGCTCCTGCCGTGCCATCAACCAGCCTCCAAGGCTAGAAACCAACAGCCAGACATCTTGTTCGAAACTCACTCGAAACAGCAAAACACCACCTAATTTCGTGCCAAAAATGGCACAAAATTGCAACAAAAAAGTGCCTAACGTGTCTTCTGAAATCCTAGAGAATCCTAGAGAATCCTAGACTATACATCCTAGAAAGTCTTAGTATATATAGTACTGGCTGCCTGCTGGCTGCTGCAAAAACGTGGGTCCGGGACAGGGAAACACCATAGCAGTGAAGGACGGAGGCAGCTGCAGCTGCAGCTGCCGCTGCTGGTGCTGTCGTCCGCTGATGCTGCTGCTGCTATGCTGCTCTCTGCTGTTCCTGCGCTGCTGCTGCTCCTGCCGTGCATCAACAGCTCCAAGGCGGAAAACAACAGCCAGACATCTTTTTCGAAACTCACTCGAAAACAAGCAAAACACCACCTAATTTCGTGCCAAAAATGGCGCAAAATCGCAGCAAAAAAGTGGCAACGGTCTTCTGAAATATCTGAATCCAAGAGAATCCTAGAGAATCCTAGACTATACATCCTAGAAAATTAGACTATTATATAGTACTGTATAGTACTGGCTGCCTGCTGGCTGCTACAAAAACGTGGGTCCCGGACAGGGAAACACCATAGTAGTGAAGGACGGAGGCAGCTGCAGCTGCAGCTGCCGCTGCTGGTGCTGTCGTCCGCTGCTGCTGCTGCTGCTGCTGCTGCTCTTGCTGTTCCTGCGCTGCTGCTGCTCCTGCCGTGCCATCAACCAGACTCCAAGGCGAGAAACCAACAGCCAGACATTTTTTTCGAAACTCACTCGAAACAGCAAAACACCACCTAATTTCGTGCCAAAAATGGCGCAAAATCGCAGCAAAAAAGTGCCTAACGTGTCTTCTGAAATCCTAGAGAATCCTAGAGAATCCTAGAGAATCCTAGACTATACATCCTAGAAAATCTTAGACTATATATAGTACTGTATAGTACTGGCTGCCTGCTGGCTGCTGCAAAAACGTGGGTCCCGGACAGGGAAACACCATAGCAGTGAAGGACGGAGGCAGCTGCAGCTGCACGCTGCTGGTGCTGTCTTCCGCTGATGCTGCTGCTGCTGCTGCTCTTGCTGTTCCTGCGCTGCTGCTGCTCCTGCCGTGCCATCAACCAGCCTCCAAGGCGAGAAACCAACAGCCAGACAGCTTTTTCGAAACTCGTCGTCGTAGTAGTAGTAGTGTAGTAGTAGTAGTAGTAGTAGTAGTAGTAGTAGTAGTGGTAGTGGTAGTGGTAGTGGTAGTGGTAGTGGTAGTAGTAGTGGTAGTGGTAGTGGTAGTGGTAGTGGTAGTGGTAGTGGTAGTGGTGGTGGTGGTGGTAGTGGTAGTGGTAGTGGTGGTAGTGGTGGTAGTGGTAGTAGTGGTAGTAGTAGTAGTAGTAGCAGTAGCAGTAGCAGTAGCAGTAGTAGTAGTAGCAGTAGCAGTAGCAGTAGCAGTAGCAGTAGTAGTAGTAGTAGTAGTAGTCCGACAAGACTCAAATGTCTTATTCCCTGGCGCGCTCCCCCTTGCGTCTGCCGGGGTCGGCGGATATAATTAATTATATAAGGTATTCAAGACCGATTGAACTGGAGTTGGAGTTTGGAGGGAATCCCTGACCTTAAACTGTTATTGGGCCTGCGCTTTTTTTGATCACAGCTCAGGAGCGGCCACCACTCCATTGTCCCCAACTACTAAGAGGTCATGGCGTGTTGATGGGTCTTTGCTGTTGGCTAATGGCCTTGAAAGCTATCCACAGACACTATGTACAGAATAAGTTAAAGAATACCGGTTGAATGGCGAGATTGTGGCCTGTTGATTGCTTTTCAGATTCATTCGAGCTACAGCTGGAATAGCCTTTTGGCAAGTGCTGTTCAAGGCAGAGGCTGTTCAAGGCAGAGCATATTGAGGTTTTAAAGCTTCCGGATACTTTGACTGTCAACAGCTCGCACGTCTGGATTGCACAGCTTAGTGAAGCCATGCGAATCTCCCAGCAAATCCACAGAGCTGAATAGAGACTCCACTGCTATCAGCTGATATCAGCTGTGCCAGGCTGAAAAAGGCCAGCTCAAGGGGCAAAGGCGCATGGAAAGCCTTCACAGAGCCAGGGATCTCAGGGACCTCAGAGATCCCGACGAGATCTGCAGATTCTTCCATTGAAGCTTCTGAGGGCCAATTTTGAATGAGCAGCAACTAGAGCACACGCATATTCTAAATTATTCCAATATATTCTAATACTAATACCGATATCAGTTAATAAAGCTATAAACTCTGTCCAGCGAGACACCCAGGTTGCCATCAAAGATGTCGGAGCACTTTGGCCACAGCCCCAAAGCCTTCCAGCTTCAGATTTGACTTTATCAGTGCCGCGGACTGGGCTGCAAGGTCTAAAGTCGAAGCGTTACCTCAATATATCTCGAATATGACATAGCAGTCATTCGGAGAGCAGTTTGTATGTGCTGAAGTTGAACACAGATGACTCGTTTAGTCGATTGTGGCACACACACAACCTGGTATTCTTCAGGAATCACAAACCTTTTTTTGTTACGAGATGACGACATAGCGGTGCTAAGGTGAAGCCAAAGGAGAAGAATCCGCACCATATACACGTGACCTTGGTCGATGTTGGTCGTTGAACCAGACATCCCTAGGATGTTCAAACAGCCAACTCATCCCTTTCTTTGAGTTCTTTGTGACCTAGCTGGGACAGTGCACTGCAAACATCTGCAAACTATAAACACAGAAAGTTCCTTAATACACTGTCAACGATACAGTATGATATGACACGATATTCAAAAGAAACACTGAGATATTGTTTTTTGATATGATATATATATATATATATTGATATATATATATATATGATATCATATATTATATGATACCCTGATTTTTTTTGCAATGTAGCTGAGACTCATTGTTTTCTTCGACAGGCCTTGAAATAATTCTTCCCTGGTTGATGATTTTAAGCCCATGCTGCACCGGCTGCACCTTCCTGCCAGGTATGTGAATGGAAAATGAGGAACCCCTGAGGCAAGGAGCTAGCACATGACCACATTCATACTGTCCATTGCTGTCCGTCTGCTTCGTCATTTTTTGTCGATTCTCAAACAGCTCTTTGTCCCCAAGAGTTTTTTTCTCCAGAATGATGAAAGCTGCAGAAAATGATGCATCGCATACATTATTGGCAAGATGATATTGTACGAAGGATGTGAGGGACAGTCAGATCACTCAGAATAAAAATTTTTAGTCATTCCCTTGTTTTGATTACTACGTGTTGATTCTATATCAAGATGAGTGAAGCTTTAAGTTTTGTTCAGGATGGGCAAACAAACGAAGTTGCCCTACCTTGCGAGACTCGCGCTATTGCTTAGTCATTAAGTTTGTTGAGTCACCCCTTCTCCTGCAAGTCTTCCGGAAGAGCCAATTGCGGCTACTTTTGTCATCGAACTGTTTACGTCTACGTAGACATCGGTAGACATCGGAAAACTACCTTCGCCTTCAGAGACTTGCAGCGACGACTCTGTACTCTGTAGTCATGGATTTGAATCTTTTAGAGGCAGCAATTGGTTAGTGCAGCCATGCGAAATGCACAGCTTCCTTTGCCGGGAGATAATCTCACGGACGGCACGCCTGAGGCGAATTCCAAGTTGATTGTTTAGACGTACTCAGAAGAAAACCAAGCAAGCTGCTTAACTGGTTGTGTCTCTGGGAAATGGGCAAGAACATGAACATGTCAAGATATGTCAAGAATTTGTCACAAGAGTCTTTTTCGCATCCATGAAAAGATGGAGAATGTGAGAATATGTGAGAAATGAGTTTTGACAGTTTTGCTTGGATCAAGCTCCGAAGACATCCCTTCCGTCAATCTGGTCGCCATGGCTCGCTTTGGGGCTCGCTTTAAAACGGCGGCCTTGCTGGTGTTGCACGTTGGCCAATGGCATGCGGCCGTGGCCCAGGCGGCACAGGCTCAGCCTTGCGCAACGTTGTCCGGCCCTGAAGCCCTAACCTGCCAATGGAAGGAGGATTCCGAAAAGTGCATTCAACAGAAATGCCAGGATTGCAGTGGAGATCAATGTCTCTCGTGTCAGAAGGACACAAAGCTCATCAATGAGTGTTGTAAAGACAACGCCCAAGTAACTGCAAGTCCCATCCTTTGCAAAAGTGCAGCATTGGCAGCGAGCATCAACAGTTGCATCAACTCAAGATGTAACGGATGCGCAGGAGAGCAGTGCCAAGTATGCAAAGAGGATGAAAACACAATCTCAAAATGTTGCGAAGGGGATTATCACAATGTTGAGCTGCCAGAAATTTGCGGCCATGATGAATCCCACTCATGTTCTGGTTTGGCTGGTGAAGAACGCTTGACCTGTTCATGGGGTGAAGAGGTGAGAAGTTGCATGAAGACCTTTTGCAGCTGCGACACCGATGATGCTACCGATGCCTGCAAACTTTGCCAAGAAGACATGGCCCAGATTTCTATGTGTTGCGATCAGCATCGACAATCGGCGCACCCACCAAGAATCTGTACAGATGCCATTTTGACCCAGGATGTGATGAATTGCATTGACACCAGCTGCTCATCTTGTGAAGGTGAGCGAAGCTGCAAGTTGTGCAAGGAGGATACTAACCTGGTGAATCAGTGCTGTATTGATCACCAACATGGCCTAGATCCTCCGCCAATGTGTCAACACATCTCACAATTAGTCCTTCCATAAGTGAAGTTGGCTAGGTGCCAAAAGGACATCATGGGACATCATGGGACAATGCGGAAAGACTGTCAAGGAACAGTCATTTTTCGGAAAAATCGGCAACTCGAGCTTAGCTCAGCCAAGTCCCCCCAGAGACAAAAAAAGTCGCAAGTTTTGATCATCCTAATGCGCCCAATAGCTGCAGTAGTGAAGCTCTCATGACCAGGGCCTCAGGGCCCAGTGCTGCAATGGCAGATCAACTGCTGACCTGTGGTATTTTTGGTTCAAGGACCATCCGAAAAGGTGTTGTCCTGTCAGACGCCTCGGTAATTGGAGGAAGGGATCA